TTTGTTTTTCCAGTTCCAGAGTACTAATTAATGGAGAGAACGAAAGTGGGAGCTGTTAAGTTGCTCCCAGAAGCAGGGTCGATTAGAAGTAGTGTTCATGTCTCAAGGGTCATGCCTCACTAACACCAGAACAAATTTAATAAAAATAGGCAAAATGGGTCAAATCCCATATCCAACAAAATGGGGCCATGTGAGATATCTCACAAAGGTCGTCCAACCAAACATCCCGCTCAATGGCTTTGATTATTGTTCCAGAAGGGGGAAGGGTACACAGCCCCTAATTTTATATTGGAAGCTTTCTTAGATCCCCCTCCATTACCAAAGGCAAGTTCAATGTATCCCCTCCTCTGACACATCCCTATCATTTCATTTCAAATACACCCATTTATCCATCTACCTCTTTTAGTCTTTTTCTTTTAAGATAAGTTCTCATGTTCTCTGTGACAGGATAAAGGGCATATGTTCCTGGAATTTCACCTTCTCTGTATATAATATTTGAACCAATTCCTACCTACCTTTTGCTTTATTTAATTTAATATAGCTGCCTATAAAAAAAAAATTAATATAACACAATTATTTCAGCTGTTTAGATTTGTATGAATATATATACATATATATGTACCGAGAGCTAGCTTAATTGGTAAGTTTTAAATGTTTTGATGATGAGGTTTTAAGTTTGGATTTTATTGTTAGTAGTTCTTTTTGAAAAAGTAATTTGTAAGTTTTATTATAGATTGGTATTAGAGATTAATAATTTTTTGATCCGAATAAAAAAAATTTAATTTTTTTAAAATAAAATTTTGAATTTAAATTTTATTCACGAAGAAATAGATGTTAAAAGAGTTTCCTTCTCATAAGATCTAATGACATAATTTGATTTCAAATTAGTAAAAATTCAATATGCATTTTTAAATACTTAGTGTTAAGTAAAAAAATAAAAAAATTACTACCAGAGTTGTTGATATGCTCTAGTTATGAATTGGGTAAATTCTCCTCATGCTAAACTTTTATGTTAAAAAAGAAGAAG